CCGAAACAAGAGGCATCAATTCAATTCACATCACAAAACTAACACACGATACCCCTTATATAAGCATAAATCAATATATATATATATATAGATATATACATATATATTGATATATATATATGTTTGCAGAGTACACCTAATTACAAATACATACTAATGAGATTTCGTGCAAACTGGTTACTGTATGGTATATCATTGAAAAATGAGATATTCTGAACATAGACACACTTCTAATACTCACATTAGCGCAAGCACTACTAAACAGAACAAATATTGTTCCACATGTATGATTATTAAGTTTCACCTAAAGTGTTACAATAATGGCTCTACTTGTGATTCTCAATTCCGCATTGCTGTTGTCAACTAGTGTACAGCACATGTTATACTGGGATGCATGAATATGTAGTTCACACAAACAACACAGTGCAGCATAGATAATGGTTTAGAGATGCAGAACAGAGTGTAGTAGGCATGCAAGTCCTTTTTGATGCAATGTGTATAATGGGAATGCTGGGTAATGATGTATTTAAGCACCGGCTAAGCTGCATAGCATGAACCATGTCCAGTTGTTTACGTGCCAAAGTAATTGCTATCATAAAGTGTAAGAATCGTTGACTAATGCATGGGGATCATACACGTCATAAGAAAGCCCTGGTAGTGGGTGGTCACCCCATTCATACAACAAGAAAATATGTTAGGTGGGAAATACATACAATTCTTGTATTAAGGTGAAAGCCCACTCCTAGTTTTTGAGAAATTTGGTCATAAATCGCATGACGATGTTTATTGGTCTCTGATGTACGAGTACACTCATAGAGCTATTGTCCCATAGCATAAAAAAACAACATTCTTGTTTGTGTTACAGTGATGTTTTCTGAGAAACTTGTCCTAATATTTTTCAAAAATCACTATTTTAGAACAATATTTCATAACGCTATATTAAGGAAAAATAGCTTTTTGTCCACACTTTATAAAACCCACAATTTTTTAAAATAATTTAGGACATCAAAAAGTACCCTGTCATCATTACCAACATATTATTTTTCAGCCTATGGACCTAGTCTACAATTCAAGATATGACATAATATCTCTGCCATAGAATCCTATGGTGTTCTATTTTCTACCTCTATTGTGTTACGTGTACTGACAACAATTTATAAATTTCGTTTTTTGCTGTGATACACGAGAACAGGCATAAACTGTCATATATAAATTGAATACTGGAGATATATTGAAATGTAAGACATACTGATTGCGAGATAAAATAGGTCGGATTAATTAATATCCTTCAAATGAATGACCCACTCCATATTTAGTGTTGTTATTATTAGGTGTTATTAGTAATAGATGGAATATTTATTAACATATAATTACTATAATTAAATTGTTCAAGTATTTATATGCAAGCTATATTATTATTTTGTATATTAGAAAAATAATATGATTAGTATAGACTGTTCAACATACTTTTTGTACATCAGGAACTTTGTATCAATGGTCGCATACAAACTCACCACTCATCATGTTCATTATTGCAGCAATGTTAACTTAATAGTTTTTGTGATCATAAATGGTAAAGCTGAAAACATTGTGAATGAATTCATGAATTTAATGTTGCCAACACAGTGTGCAATGGTAAACAAATGATGATTAATGAAGACAATGTTGCCACCAAAAACAGTGTAAACACCAGATCTGGTTTTTCAAAACGAGTAGCAAAACGAAAAACAATTGAATTTCATTCATATTAACTGGCCAATTTGTCTAATTCAAAAACTCCATCTTGAGAGGAGAAATTAAGATTGTAAGAATTTCAAGTTAATTATATTTTAAATGAAACTTGCAAAAGATATTATCCACTCAAGTCTAGTTAAACTAACAAAAATATACTTTTTATTCTTAATTATTATAATAATGTTTATACAAAATGTTTTACAATTTGAGAAACACTCCATGTATGCGAAATCATGTAATGTACTACTTACTTAGCAAAAGATGAAAGGTAATTTATGCATGTTTAATGATCTATTAATACAGTCCCTCAACACCTGTGATTAAAGTTAATTTATGCATAATTTACAAAACAAAATGTCTACTTACTTTGTGTTTTAGCAGTCTGAAGACATTGTATGTTGCTAATGTATTGATTGCATCCGTGTAAATATTTTTTCCATTAATTGTAAATATCATCAGAATTACTTATAAAAATAGTTATGTACATTATAAAAAAATATATGCTAGAGAGCGGTCTCGTACTGCCATGATGTAGCCTTTTCAAAGCATGAGAGAAGATGATCTGATTGGTCGGCTGATGATGGTTGAGGACTGTCCTTCCTGTTTGAAAATAAACCATGCTGTGAATTATGTGCACTCACCAAGAAAGAAACATTTTTACCTTAGCACCGCCCAGATTGGGTTTACCACAGGCCCTCACCAGATTAAATTCTGATAATGTACAGGTGGAAACCGGCAGAAAATCAAATGTGCAAAGTATTGCCAGTGAAGAAACAATA